ACTTATACATATTAAGTAAATACATATCAAGATGTGGGTTATTCACATTGGGCTCTAGACTACATTCGATATCATAATATAATAAATATTTTGAATGACAGAAAATCTGTTTAGGATTTCATGTCCTAAATTTGCCATTCCGTGATACGTACTTTTTTTCTCCCTCAGCTGAATTTAAATGTCAGCCAGGCCGATTCCAGTGTGGAACCGGCCTCTGTGCGCTGCCCGCTTTCCTCTGCGACGGCGAGAATGACTGTGGAGACAATTCTGACGAACTCAACTGTGGTAGGAAATTAAGTTCTTAATGATACAGCCCACGTCGACGTCTAAACTGATTATGTGGACACTGATTTAAATTCAGAAGGTTTCAGCTCACATTTTAAATTCTATCTTGCAGACACACATGTCTGCTTGTCAGGTCAGTTCAAGTGCACCAAGAACCAGAAGTGCATCCCCGTGAACCTTCGCTGCAACGGACAAGATGACTGCGGGGATGAGGAAGACGAAAGGGACTGCCGTAAGTCACCTCAGCGGTGGCTTCTTATTTTACTTCTTATCCGTGATTGGAAGGGGTGTAAAGAGGATGATTTTTCTACATAGATTTGTACAGTGTAGAGAAATGTAAGAGCAATTAAAGTTAAATAATTACAAAGAGTTGCCATTGGTAAAGGGTTGTTTAAGACGGCTTATATAAAGAGCTTGGAGAATATTAATATAAAGTGCAGGTGAACTTTACATGAAAAACTACCTGGAGATTCCAGTCAATGGGAAACAAAATCTACTTTTATCAGCAAAAATAATGCGGTGGGTAATTCTGCTTTTATTTCATAAACTGATTTTTTTCTTGCCCATATTAATTCACTTCTACTGATTAATTAGGTACTGTAATTCAATTCCCTTCAATTAGAAGTCAATTATTCCCATAAATTACATATTGACCTTATGATAAAAAACACAAAACTTCTTAAAACTATTTATTAAATTACTTGATTAATATCCATAAATAGTACTTTATTCCACATATATTATCAAGTATCTTTGAAGCATATAGTAAAAATAGCTGTAGTTCTATTTACTCATTTCTGTTTTCAAAGCAAAAATAGGAATACCTTAAAGGGAAAGCTAAGAAAGCCTGACTGTTATAGATACCAACAAGAAAAGTATGTGCATGTACACATGCACACCCCCCTGTGGATGGTAGAATGCCTGCCAGGCTTCCGGGTTTCAGCAGGAGTGCTCTCACCAATTTAGGACACGCTGAAGTCTTATTCTTCCATCTAAAAATGTATGAGTAAATAATGTGTGATCATCCAGCAATTTGATTAAAACGATGCATTCAGAACAAAGTCAGTAGCTGTTCTTTATGATTACCACTCTCAAAGCGGAGTCAGGAAACCTCATAGGATTGTGATGCAGCTGATGGTCTGAGGTGGATGTTCACTTTCTCCCTCACAATCTCAACTCAATTTCTAGTGATTTCGTGACTATCATATATTTTTTAAAAATCATTCATTCATGTAGTGTCACAAATTTTAAACTTTTTTAATATACAAAAATCCATATGTATACATTATTAACTTTATTTATCTAGGTAACAATTTTGTAAGTCCCTGTTAGATCTGAATTTTTTTCCTATATGTATAAATCAATGCAAAAATGGTTTACTTTGTTTTCGTACTCTGGAAATGATACTCAGAATTCATTATCAGTAATCAAAATTTAAAACACCTTACCTTCTTAGTCCTATAATTAAAAGATAGCACACGATCAGTTGACTACCAAAGTATTTGTCCAATAGGTTTTATTGAAATGTCTGTTTCAACCAAAGCTACATCATTTTTAACTGGATGTTTTCTTCTGAAGCCGAAAACAGTTGTTCTCCTGACTACTTCCAATGCAAAACAACCAAGCATTGCATCTCCAAGCTGTGGGTTTGTGATGAGGATCCCGACTGTGCAGATGCATCCGACGAGGCCAACTGTGGTGAGTGTTTTGGACGGTGCACCCGCCCTGTTGTGTGTGCGTCAGCAGCGGAAGAGGCCCGGCACAGAGCATTTAGACCCAATCTTTGTGAAATGAAAATCTTAACATGAGAAACTCGCCTCTGTGCTTCCAGTGCCCTGGTCAACTAGGAACATTCTTTGGCATGAAGGATGAAGGCGGGAGAGGAAGCGTGACTATTGCTAAGTGTAATGTGTATTTTTAAACAAACAAAACACAAATGTGAAATATGATGACCGTTTTGTTATGTTAGTGTCAGCATCTTAGCATGTAGTGAATGGAAACACAGGGAACTCGGTTCCTTTTCTGAAGTTCATTTATTTTTCGGCGTAAACACGTGATTTCCCAGTCACTCAATGGTTATTGCTCCTCATTCTTGACGTAGGCGGCAGAAGGAAAACATAAGACCATCTGTTTTATTTCAGAAGATGACTCTGATCATTTAATAAGTTAACTTTTGTTTCTGAAACATTGATATTTTCACTAAAGACATGTTATTTGCCATATGATTCCTGAGTCATCATTGCTGAGATGGAGAAAAATTCACTTTGTAAAGTGTTTCATTTGTTCTTGAAAATGTTAACAGTCAAGAGTGACCGGTGGTTGTCATGTGTAATTCAGTGTTCATTATACATTAATCCATTACTTATGAAACATTAATACTTTATAAACAAACGCAACTTGACGTTGTTAGGAAAGGGGAGTTATTTAATTTAGTTATTATATAGAAAAGGCAACATTTTGTCGAACTGTAGTTAAAGCCTCCAGGCTTTCATAAAATTAAATCAAATCCATTTTCTTAATGCCACACAACCCTTCCACCTCACTTCTGGGGCAAATGAAACACTTAAGTGTTACTGAACAGGATTCATGAGCTATATGTATAATCTATAACAATATAAGGACATATCTTCACATTATTTCCCTAATGCTTTTACTTAGAACAACATGTAGTTAACCTTCTAATGGTAAGAGTTAACCTTCTTAAAAATGGACTCTATTATGCCAGCTTCACTGTACCGAGTCAATTCCAACTCACAATCACCCCATGGGATGGACTAGAACCACCCCTCGAGTTTGTGAGATTGTAAATCCTTATGGAAGCAAAAAGTCTGATTTTTCTCCTCTGAAATGATGGGTGGATTATAACTGGTGACCTTAATGGTAGCATTACAACTGTAACCCACTAGAGATAAATTCTTTATTTGGGAGTGAGAATAAAACTTCTCTAGAGACAGGGATGTGTTTCAAACTCACATGCTATGTATCCTCAGGACTTAGTGGATGCTGGACAGACTTTTATTTAATGTCTATGGAATGACTGGTCTTTTACCTGTTTCAGGATTCTGGTTTACAATCTACCATATAGATACTCTAGTATAAGCTGACCTGAATATCAGTGGAGGCACCCAATTTTACCACAAAAACTGCATTAAAATTGTGCTGCAAAAACTCGGCTTATACTCAAGTATGTATGGTATTTTCAGGTTAATTGCCTCTCATGCTTTCTTTGAATAATTCTTGAGCTTTTCTCAAATTTCAAATACTGAATTCAATGAAGTCCTGCTCAGTTCTTGATTTCAAAGAAAATGTTCTTTGGATTCATCTAGCTTTACTTCCTTTTAAAAAATATTTGGGCATTAATATTTATATTTATTTATTCTTCTATATATATTCACTTTCCTTCCTTCTTAAAAGCTGCCCCTTACTTAGTAAGGTTCTACCTTACTAAAATTCTAAGTTTTGAGAGGTGGGGAATAGATAATAAAAAGTCTAACAAAAGACAAACAAGCAACTGAAAACACACATGTGCTATAGGGAATCAAACCAGCAACCATGTATAAATATTTTTAAATGGTTCAGTTATTTATACATTTATGGGAATAAAGCTTATCAAATTTAACACCATATACTTTTTCAAGATTTTTGCATATTTAACAGCTAATCTAGAATATCTAGAGGTATGAAACCAGAACTAGATGTGTATTCAATACAGATTAGTTGTGAAAGTATAAAAATCTAGGTTGGGTAAGTCTTTAGATACAAATGTAAAATAATAAATTAGCTATAGCATTTCCTATATCATACTTATTTTGAGATAGCTAAATATATGAATCTCTAAAAGCTGTGCTTGAATATAAATTTATAAATCTTCCAGAAACCTATTCAGCTCTGTTTCTGTGTACGTGAAGATTTGTCCATGGTTTCCTCACAGTCATAGCAAAGTAGTTCTAGCTATGTTTTTTAAATGTTAATAGTTTCTTATCAAATCACTTTATTTTGTTGCATTAATTTGTTTACACTCTTGATTACTTGCCAGTAAAAAATTTTGGAGTGAGGTAATTAATATAAAATGTCAAAGAATTTTCACACTAAATTGTTGATAGTAACCAGTGGTGGTAAAGGAAGGAGCAGACATTACTAACTCGAGGACAGACATATATTAGCTTGGGTGCAGGAAACAGTGATAGACAATAAGGCAGAGGTCAGTAAAAAGTATAGAGCCAGAGAAAGACACTGGGAGGGATGACAAAGTTAAAGGCAACAGAGGTAAATACCATTGTATATACAATCTTGAATAATGGCTATCTATTACTGTATGATAAAAGGAATTGGCTGGCCAAGCATTTGAAAGAGTAGCATATGATCAAGCAAGGAATAATTCAAGATGCACTGAACACATTATGAAAAATGATCAATTACAATAGATATTTCAGAAAAATAAATGTTTCAGCACACTGATGCAATGTTGGAAGCACTCACTAGTCTATGTCAAAAAATCTGGACAACAATTTACCTACACAAACTGGAAGATGTCCATATTTGGGTCCATTCCAAAGAAAGTTCATGAAACAGATGCAGAAATTATCTAACAAGGGTGGCGGGAAGGAGGCGCACCAGTCACGGTGCAGTTTAGCAACGATGAAACATGCAATTTTTCTCTAGTTCCTTAATGCTTCCTCCCCCCCCCCCACCTTCATGATCCCAATTCTGCCTTACAAATCCAGCTAGACCAGAGGATGAACACTGGTACAGATAGGAACTGGAAACACAGGGAATCCAGGACAGATGAACCCCTCAAGACCTGTGGTGAGAGTGGTGATACCAGGAGGAAGGAGGGAAGGTGGGGTGGAAAGGGAGAAATGATAACAAGGATCTACATATAACCTCCTCCCTTGGGGATGGACAATAGAAAATTGGGTGAAGGGAGACGTCGGACAGTGTAAGACATGACAAAATAATAATAATTTATAAATTATCAAGGATTCATGAGGGATGGAGGGTGGGGGAGGAAGGGGAAAAAATGAGGAGCTGATATCAAGGGCTCAAGTAAAAATAAAATGTTTTGAGAATGATGATAACAACAAATGTACAAATGTGCTTGACACAATGGATGGATGTGTGGATTGTGATAAGAGTTGTACGAGCCCCCAATAAAATGATTTCAAAAATACATCACAATCAAGTAGAATTCAAAGTAGGTATGCAAAGATGTTTCACCATATGAAAAACAAACTTCGTCCTCCACCACTTGAATAAAATAAAATGAACCACTGGTGCAGAAAAGAAAAGATAGAACACCATTGTTAATATCACACACAAGTAATTGTGTTTCTGAAGGGAATGCGAAACCATTTGCAGCATCCATCGACAGGGAGCTGCAGAATTTCGAGTTGGACTCTTACGAGGACTTGGGACAGGGAATCTCACTGAAGATCTCAGAAGCATCGAGGTGAGAGCACAGAATAGCATGAAGACGTTTACTTGATTATATAAAGGCATTTGACCTGTGGCCCATAACCAACTATGGATAACATTGAGAAGAAAATGAATTCCAGAACATGTCCTTGGACCCACAGAAATGCTATACATAGAATAAGTCGTCGTTCAATCACAAGAAGAGATACTGCACAGTTTAAAATCCGAATTGATGTGTGTCAGGATTATTTCCTTTCACTTTGCTGAATCTGTATGCTGAGAAAATAATCTAAGAAGCTGACCCATATGAATAAGAACAAATCATCAGGATTGGAGGAAAACGTCCCCTATTAACCTGCAATGTACAGATGATACAGCATTGCTTTTTGAAAACTTGAAATATTTACTAAGGAACATCAAAAACTCCAGCATTCAGCGTCGATTAAAATTCATTATATACAAACAAAAATCTAAAAACTGAACCAATAGACAACATCATGCTAAACAGAGACAAGATTGAATTAACCGACGATTTCATTTTACTAAGAACCACAATCAGTGTTCATGGAATTAACAGTCAACTAATCAGGTTGACTTGATTAGGCAATTTTGTTGTGAAAAATCTGAAATTTTGAAGAACAAAGGTGTGACTTTGCATACTTAGTTGAGACGACCTCAAGCGATGATATTTTCAACTGCCTCACCTGCATGTAACAGCTATCTAGAGTTATAGTCTTAGAGGAAAATTGATTCACCTGAATTATGGTATTGGCAAAGAATAATGAAAGTACTATGGACCGTCAGATACACAAACAAATATATCTTCTAGGAAGAATAACTTGAATGTCCTTAGAAGAAAAAATTTTTTTAAAGTCTTATTGTTTCATACACTTTGGACATCTTATCAGGAGCGATCAGTCCTGGAAAGATATGCTTGGTAAAGTCGAGGAAAGACAAACAAAAGAGAGGGGAGACCTTTTAATGAGATATATTGAAACAGTGACGACAGCAGTGGACTCAAATGTAACAAACTTTTGAGAATTTGCAGAACAGGTTAACCTTTTGTTCTGTAGTACGTACATAATGTCACTCTGAGTCAAAAAACATTTGATGGCACCTAACAATTACTAGCAAGGAGCTCTGGTGGCTTCGTAGTTATGAGCTGGACTGCTAACGGTAAGGTCGGCAGTTGGGAACTGCCAGCCCCTCTATGTGAGAGAGGTGGAGCTTTCTACTCCCATAGAGTGAGACAGTCTTGTCAGCCAGCCATAGCAGTTCCGCCC